AAGCCGCCTCCGACGTCTACGTCAACAGCCGCGAGAACATGGACTCGAGTGGTAAGTGTCGCGTAGGCAACCGCATATACAGGCAAGCGTCTAGGCATACGGCACGTCCTGTCACTTCTGTCAGTTCTTCTGTCACTTCTGTAAAAAATTTAGGCGGTTTGTCATTTTTGCATCATGCTGATCATCATCAAAAAATGTTGTATTATTGTGAAAATATTTTATACGCCTGATAACTAAAAGTAAATGGAAAGAGAAGATACCAGCAATTCTTTTGCTCAATATTTCTTGACTCTTACAATAGTGATTTAATTTTTTCTGTTACTTTAAAACTAAAAAATCGTTGATAATTTGTTTTAATTAAATTTGCACATTGCACATAGGAAAATAACTTAAGCCAACTATCTATTTGCTCAATAAAACATTTTTGTTATTAAAACGCCCCATTTGGTGTACATAATATATAGAGTAACGTTAAAAACACATCGTTAAGTTCTTCTAAGTCAAACTTTATAAGTCCAATAATTTTATCAATATTAATTGAGTTAACACAGTCAAAGTCCAACACTATATTAATAAAATCCAAAGAGTTTACAGTTACAACAGAATACCGGATAAAAATCACCTAACCTTAAATCGTCTTAAATCATTACAAACCGCTAGGCTCGAATCGCCGCAATCGATAGAAGTGACAAGAAGTGACAATTGACAAGAATACCTAGACGCTTGTAAAATAAAGCAGTCCACTTTGACATGTTGAACTTGCAGTTTCTCTCCCAACCCTAACCCCAGAAACGACAAATACAAAATGGCGCTGCGACAAAAGTGAAAGAAGTAAAGAAAATAATCCAGATTAATCCAAGGCATCCTAAAGAAAAAGGAGGAAAATGGATTTGGAGCAAAGGTTTCAAAAATCGACATATTAATACAGAAATTCGATAACCACTTCAACCCGAAGAAAAACATAACCTACGAAAGATATAAATTCTTAACGTTTAAACAGACTGAATACCAAACCAAATTTGTCTCTGTCATGCGTCATACTGATTTGTGGCATAAAATCAGAGAAATTAAGGGAGAGAGACTGCAAGTTCAACATGTAAAAGTAGACAGCTTTATTTTCCTCGGCAAAGTTGCCAGGTCTACCGATTTGTCAAGGAATCTACCGATCTACCGATACCATGCAGATTTCTACCGAAAAGTAGCAAACAAAAATTGAAAAAATTTGCGTGGATTACTTAAAATAATATAGCATATTTCCATTCATGATCAAAGTACGTTGGTAATGGCAGACATTTTATTTCAGCACCCCTCGTATTTTAGAGTTTTTTTTCAAACATAAAATGAATCAAGCCTGCCATGTATTCATTGTATCATGGGTTAATCTAATGAAAACTGAGTTGAGCCATAAGCTAAAAACGAGTACAATTTACAAGTTTAAAAATTTATAATAATGAAAGAAAAAAGTCTCGAGCTTATCTACCGAAACTCGATTTTTGGACCTGGCAACCCTGTTCGGCGGTTACGCTGGATGGCAGGCACTGTATATGCGGTTGCCTGCCTGACAGTAAGGGCCCCGCCTCCTGTGGCCTGCTGACGCCGCCCCCTTTGCAGGCGTGTTCACCGACATGGACTCGGGGCCGCGCCCAGACGAGGAGAGCGAGACGGGGGCGCCGCAGGCCCCCAGCGACGCGCCCACGCCCACTGACAGCAGCAAATGCGCCTCCGACAACAGCCAGCAGCCCAAGCAGGGGGCGCAGCCCCTCGCAGCGCCCAAGAAGCCGCCCAAGCCGCAGCCGGGCGAGAAGCGCCCCGTGAAGAAGCCGGTCAACAAGTGGGACGCGGTGATGAGCAAAATCTCCAAGGGCGACGACCCGAAGGGCCGCCTCAAGGAGGTCAAGGCCAAGGTGTACGAGGCGCCCAAGGTGAAGAAGCCGCTGGTGGCGAAGCGGGCGACCGCCAGCCGCCCCCGGGCCGCCGCCGCCCCGCCCAGTCGCAGTCCAGGTGAGTGGTTTAGCGAAAGCGCCGTGCGCCGAGCGCCGCCAGTCGCTTCGCCGACCGCGCGCGGTTAAAGTCGAGTGGATCGCAGTGCCGCACGGGAATAATCCACGTTTTGGAGGCGGTTTGCGCCCATTGCACCAACGCGGACTTTGCGCCCATGCTGGCAACAGGGGCGTGGTCAGTTGCTGCCAAGGCCAGCCCTTCGACAGCCCGAAACGGGTAAAAGACGCGGCAACAGGGCGTTTCACTGCGGGCATTGTTGACACCGTTCGGCTAATGAAAAGCACCTGACGCGGTGCGAATTTGCATAAATATGCCGGTGAACGCACGCTGGGTTCGCTAATGGCCAATTAAGTACCGGTTTTTCCAGTGGCGGACGGAAAATAACGCGATGGCAACGGTGGCATAAATGCCATTGACCCTGTCAATAACGGGGCAAATGCGCCACTGTTGCCAAACTGGACAGTCCCCCCAGAGCCCCGACTCTGCTAATTGCGGCTCCCTTGGAATACATTGGTGCCAGATCTCAGCTGATTTGAGGCGTTATTACAGAAAGAGAGAGAGAGAGAGAATGAGAAAGACATTATTATATATTTACCGAGTTTTTTAAGATATCGATGAAATAAATTATTTCCGATTTAAAATGTCTACCAAAACTCAGTTCAAGATTTCTAATGTTGAAAGAATTTTTTTAAAAATATTAAAATAATATACATTATAGTTTGAATAAATTTTGCTTAAATAAAAACATGGTAACAATATGCGCAACGATATAAACAAGCAAAATTAAATTTAATTAACCATTTTACTGTTAACTTAGCAGCAGTCTTTTAATGAAATTAAAATTTTCAGACCGTAAAGCTTGCACTGAAGTTCTTATTTTGTTAGAAATATTAAAAATTCTTTGCTAAAGTGCTTCGATTGTATTCACTTCCGGTTAATATACCGTACTTTTTAAATGGCTCCAGAAGTAAAAATCAAGCGCGTTTAAATCGGGAGATCCAGGAGGCGAGTTTATAGAAGCTTTTTGACCTCTAGCAATCCAACGGCCTGGAAAGTTTTGATTAAGCCGAAACGATTAAATTTTTTGCGGTCAAATTAGTGCCCTTAAGAAAAAACAAGTTCCCAATGTTTAACCGTTTTAAAGATGGACAACAAAAACTGATATTTTTCGCCATTTTGCCGATCAAATATCTCAAAAATGAGACCTCAAATTAAAAAAGTTCTCAGGAAGACCCTGTATAAATAACACATTGGAAATAGACATAACTAATGATATAAAATGTATAAAATTCTAACCCCACCTTTTTGCGATTTGACACTTGACACGATACCTAACATAACATTAGATATTGGCAACGTTGCATTCCAAGGGGGCTACAATTAGCCGCTTCGCCCGAACACTATTTCTATTTCCGGCCATTGTAGGTCACCACTTTAGCGCGCCGTTTGTTTTTGGACCGGCCTTAGTGGCCCCTTGCAGGGGCGGCGTTGCCACTGTGCCGGTTCCGGCCCAACTAGCGCAGCCATGAGCTGGCAAGCGAGGCGCAGCCCGTGCTGTCACTGAACCAACTGTCAAAACACCACTGAGGGGCAGGTGCAATGGGGCAACAGCCCTCCAAGGAGAAAATGCGGCGCATCGCGCTCAAGGAAAAGTACCACGCGCACGCGCACAAACGCTCGGGTAATAGGGGGTTTTCACTTTTTTTTTTTTTGCGCCGATTGAGGTTAGGGGTAACTCGATAGATTTTTAGGAGTTGGCGCAGTGAATCAACACAGTGTTACCCGGGTCGAGTTGGGCCTGCGCTTAACCGGTGTCGATGTTGCAGGTGCGACGAAGAAGAGCGCGCCAGTGACGCAGGTGCTGACGCCTAGGGAGCTGGCCGCCAAGCAGCAGGCCGACGGCGAGTCCAAGGGCGGGGCAAGGGCAAACCACGCCCCAATCGGCGCTGTTGCCGGCAGGAAGACGCCCAAGGACACGACGTCGCCCAAGCCGCGCAAAGGTGAGTGAGTCGGCAACGGCGCCACTGCGCCGCAAAGGGGCCGCGTTCGCGAACGTGTCGGCGCTTCACAGTCGATGCACAAGCGGATCGGGGCATCTTCGCGCTCGGCCAAAACGAGAAAGTCTCCAGTCGCCTGCGGCGAGTGACGATGGGGCCCCTCAACCGCTTCCAGTCGCTCTTCAGCGCCAGTGCCGTCGACCTGAACAACAACGGGGCCAAGGGGCGCCCCCGGGACGCGCTCGCCCCGAAGCCCCGCACTGTGTGGGCCCCGTTCCGCCCCGGGCGCCGCCCCAAAGGTAA